CCAGTGCCTCGGGTCCACCCAGGGATGTGAGGCATGGAGCCAGGCACTGGACCACCCCTCCCCTCAACCAGGCACACTGTGCCAGTGCCTCGGGGCCCACCTGGGGTCCCGAGGCATGGAGTCGAGGACCAACCAGCCCCCCCCCCCCACAACCCAGCACACCACGCCAGCTCCTCAGGGCCTACCCAGGGACCCAAGGGATGGGTCTGAGGACTGGGTCTGAGGACTGGACCCCCCACACAACCAGGCACACCACCAGCACCAAGGAGCATGCCAAAAACATCACCTCCATGTGGGTGGCCCACCACAGCCATGGCCGCCATGAAAGTGGCTAGACACCACAACAGTGATGCAGATGGTCTGCCAGCCGCTGGAGTACATTGACACAAGGAGTCACCAGCAGAGATAAAGAAGAGGATGTCTCTTTCCACAAAGCCCATTCAAGAGTGACAGAAGAAAAACTGCTCTATGGTAATATTGGGGGGTCTGATCACTCCTCTTAGCATTGGACAGATCATCTAGGCAACAAATCAACAGAGTAACCATTATTCTTTCAGAAGGAGAGAAGAAATCTAGGGTAATTAGATGGGGGCGGGGGGAGGGTGAAGGGAATGGGGTGAGATTGGACAAGGGACATAAAGAGTAAGTATGATTTATAACAATATATATGCTAATAACACTGATTTGATCAACATATCTCAACGTTGGACCCCCAAAATATGTATAATCAATTTTGATTCAATAAAAATTTAAATAAATAAATACATAAATTTGGGAGGTAGAATGAAGAAAAGAAAAAAAATTCTAACTCACAAGACAAATTGTTGGCCTCTCAAATTACTTGCTTCACATAAGTTCTCCCTAAAATTATTTATGTATACAAATAAAATATAATAAAACATGAACTCTAAAAAGAAAGATGCTTATTTGAGTATATTCAATTATATATGGAGTGTAGACTTATAGGTTTTCTTCTGCTTCCTGGTTATTTTCAGAGCGAATGAAGGTAGTCTCCCAAATTGATACATAAAAACAATTGTTTTCTGATTTTCTGAAATAAATTATTTTGTTTTGTTCATTTTGTGATACATAGGGGTAGTGGTGGTAGTTTACAAGATTCCCAGTTAATAGTCCTCTTTTCCATCATTCTAGCAAAGCCCAGATATATTAGAGTTGATTTTTAAAAATTGTTTTGGTGGTGGGATAAGAGTTGTGAGTCCTACAATTTTATGGTTCTCTTGGCACATACTGGTAAAGAGTAAATGGTAAAAGGTGTTTCTTGGCCACAGAGGTGAGGGAGGTAGATAGAATAATCTGAAATTGCTATTGTACTAAAAGTAATGTTGCTGAAGCTTTTGGGATAACAGGTAAGTTTCAGTAGTACCCCTGTAGTAACAATGCTCTCTCTACCCACATATCCTTTGTTTGGAGAGAATAGATCAACTGGATCTCCTTTGCTGTCTTCTTTTTTTTTTTTGTCTTTTGTCTTTTTCCGTGTCCGGCAACGGATCGCAACCCNGAACTCTAAAAAGAAAGATGCTTATTTGAGTATATTCAATTATATATGGAGTGTAGACTTATAGGTTTTCTTCTGCTTCCTGGTTATTTTCAGAGCGAATGAAGGTAGTCTCCCAAATTGATACATAAAAACAATTGTTTTCTGATTTTCTGAAATAAATTATTTTGTTTTGTTCATTTTGTGATACACAGGGGTAGTGGTGGTAGTTTACAAGATTCCCAGTTAATAGTCCTCTTTTCCATCATTCTAGCAAAGCCCAGATATATTAGAGTTGATTTTTAAAAATTGTTTTGGTGGTGGGATAAGAGTTGTGAGTCCTACAATTTTATGGTTCTCTTGGCACATACTGGTAAAGAGTAAATGGTAAAAGGTGTTTCTTGGCCACAGAGGTGAGGGAGGTAGATAGAATAATCTGAAATTGCTATTGTACTAAAAGTAATGTTGCTGAAGCTTTTGGGATAACAGGTAAGTTTCAGTAGTACCCCTGTAGTAACAATGCTCTCTCTACCCACATATCCTTTGTTTGGAGAGAATAGATCAACTGGATCTCCTTTGCTGTCTTCTTTTTTTTTTTTGTCTTTTGTCTTTTTCCGTGTCCGGCAACGGATCGCAACCCTCAGTGTTGCCCCCATACCGGACCGGGGACCGGCAACGGGATCGCAACCCTCGGGGTCACTCCCGCGCCTCGCTCAGCCAGAGAGCGGGAACCGGTCCATATGTGGGATCCGAACCCTCGGGCGGGAGCGCCGCCACGCTTCCCAAGCGGCGCACCTATCCAGTGCGCCACCGGGCCGGCCCATCCTTTGCTGTCTTCTATCAATGGAAAGCAGTTCCGTTAAGTAGTCTTAGAATGACTATTTAACATGGCTTAATAAAATCATTATAAGCCAATTAATGTTATTAATTATAACAAAAAAGTCTGATTTGTTACGATTATCATCAACCTTCTTTTTTCAGTCAATCTCTAAAAATCACTTCCTCGGTTTTAAAAGTTTCATTCATTACAGTCATGCTAAAAATACTTATTGACTCCCTATTATGTACACAGTTCTACAAATTGGAGGTATGGCAGTGAGTATGACAGACAAAGCTCATGGAACTTTTAAGTGTAGCTAAGAAGACAGAAAATTAAACAAGTATATTCTAAATGTGATGAGTATTTCAATAGAGAAGCATGGGGTGCTATGTGAGCATACAAGGGGGCTGATATGGTTTAAATGTTTGTCCCCTTCAAATCTCTATTGGAATTTATCCCCAATATATTTAAAAGGTGGAGCCTTTAAGAGGTGATTGGATTGCGAGGACTATGCCTTCATGAGTTGATTAATCCATTCATGGATTAATGGTTTAATGGGTTAATAGGAAGTAGACTGGCTTTATAAGGAGAATAAGTGAGCATGTAAAAAACGCTCTTGCCACTCTTCCTATGTCACCAGGGCACTCTGTAGGGAGTTCCCACCAAGAAGACCCTCACCAGATGTGCCCCCTGGACCCTGGACTCCCCAGCCTCCAAAACTGAAAGAAATAAATTTCATTTTCTAATAAATTACCCAGTTTCAGGTATTCTATTACAAGTGACCAAACACAGATAAATACAGGGACCTAAATAGAGTCCTTAGTCCTGTAGCTGAGACATAAAGGATGAGTATAGATCAGCAAGGCCGGATAAGGAAGAGTGAGTGTTCTAGGCTAAGGCCTGAAGTGAAAGAGCATGTTCTAGGAACTGAAACATAGTTCATGTGGCTGGAACACTACAGAGACAGAACTGAAAAGATCAGCAAGATCTTTCCATAGAGGCCTTTGTGAGCCACTTAAGGAAGGATTTAGGACTTTAGCTCAAGGGCCATCAAAACATTTTAAGTGAGGAAGTAACACAATCAGATGTGCATTTTATACAAATCCAACTAATCAATCAACAATAATTACAGAGCACCAATTAGAGCAAGGCTGTACAGTAGGCTTAAGGGCAATACATAGATGAAGGGGTTTGGACTCTGAATGAGCCTTCAAGGACTTGAGAAATGTTCAAGTTCAAGGCAGTATAAATGCATCCATTTCCTAAAGGAGAGAAGGGTTGTGGTAATCTGGAAAGGAATTTTAGGATCTTAAAGACGGGGTAGGTTTCAGATAGGAGAGAGGCCATGAAGGCTTCAAATGTCTAGCTAAGGAGTTTGAAATTTTTCCACGTAGGAGATGTAGAGCCATCGACCAGGCATTTTCTACGCAAAATATCATGCTCAGGTGATGGTATGATGGATAAATCAGAAGAAGAAAGAACTAGACTTAGGGGAGACAAGTAGGAGCCTTTCATGGTGCTCTAAATGTTAGCAGTAAGATCAGGGAAACAGATTCGGCGGTTACCACAAAAGAAAAAAAGAAAACCAAGGTAGTCAAGGCATGATGGATAAATCAGAAGAAGAAAGAACTAGACTTAGGGGAGACAAGTAGGAGCCTTTCATGGTGCTCTAAATGTTAGCAGTAAGGATCAGGGAAACAGATTCGGCGGTTACCACAAAAGAAAAAAAGAAAACCAAGGTAGTCAAGGGTTCTAATCTCTGTACCAGCCAGCCACCAAAAAAAGAAAGAAAACCAGAGTAAAGTTGAAACAAGTGCCTGAATATTTGACTGGAACAATAGTAAGGGTGGGGTCAAGGATGACAGAACAGCTGAGGTGGTGTGAAATAAGTGGGCCATAAACTGGAAATTATAAATTTCACTACTGCACAATTTCTCTCAATAGTACTATACAGTAGTACTTCCCAAAGTATGGTTGGCAGAGTAGAATTGATCTGTGAGAGAGTCGCTATCCAATCTGTACAGAAAACTAGAGTAAGCACTTAGAAACTTTCATTACAAGTTGACAGTAATTTTATATATGTTGAATTTAATAATAAAAATTTGGATTTACATTGTGTCTGCCATTTTTAAATTCCATTTTTCTAGTAATTCATTTTTATAGTATTTTACAAAAGTATGGATCTGTCAGAGATTAAAAATTTAAAAACAAAAAGTTCCTTTACCACAGGTAGTTTGAGAAACACTATCAGAGTATTTAGTTTGCATCCCAAATCCAAGTAGATGAACTCTACCTTGGTAAATACACGTTCAAAAATAAACACAAATTTGAATATGGACTGGATATTAAAGATTACATATTTATTGTTAATTTTCTTAGGTGCAATAATACCACACTGATTATGTAGGAGAATGATACTTTTAGGAGCTATATGCTGATGTACTTAGGAATAACTTATCATGATGTCTGCAACTTACTGAATGGTATAGCAAGAGAAAAAGAGGCATCCCATACACATACAGCTAAAGCAAATACTCAGTACTCATATGGATGGCCAAATGTTAACAATGGTTGAATTTAAGGGGTGGGTATACGGATAACAATACTATACTTTCAACTTTTCAAAACATAACCTTGAAAAAAAGTTAAATAAGTAGCACATAATAAAAGCAAAGTCCTTCATACCCCAAAGTCACCAGGTCAGTATCCTCTGGGATGACTTCTGGATCCTGGCCTTCCTCAAGGCATTTCAGTTTATCAAGGCTAAAACAAACAAACAAAAAAGAAAAGCAATACTTAGAGGTTGGCCATGCATCTTGTCCACAGCAGGTCAGGGTTGTGTCCTAAAAACATTAATGAGTAAATAAAAAGTCAGATAAAATCCAGCAGGCAGAGAGAACAGGCCAGAACCCAAAACAATGATTTCTGCCCCAATACTTTATAATAAAAAGGATGTATGGCCAATTGACGGCGGCCTGTATTGTTAAATGGAAAAAGAAATTATTAAAAGTTATGCTCATGGGGTCAGCCCACTCGGGAGAGTGTGGTGCTGATAACACCAAGGCCACGGGTTCGCATCCCTCCCCTTATCGGTCATCTTTAAAAAAAATAAAAAATAAATAAAATAAAAGTTATGCTCATGTTATCACCTCAACTAAGGCCCTTTTTTGGGAAAATTTATGTAATAGCATATTCGGGAGGTCCCCAAAAGAGACCACAGTTAATCAAGGTTTTAACACTCTACTAAGTCTCCTCCAGCCTCACCATTACTCAGGTTCCTCTATTGTCAAAGTGTCTGTCAATAGTAGGTACACTTCTCTTTTACCCTGACTGCTTTTGTTTATTAACAAGCATTTTAAAAAATAGCGAATAGAACAATCAGTCGTTTATGCAGCTGTCTCGTTCCTTCACTCCAACTCGCAGAAATTGAGCATTCGTATCCCAGTTCCCGCTGTTCCGGGAAGGCTCCAGCGGATTGAAAGCTTTGAAAGGGCGGTCCTCATGTCCTCCCACCCCGGGTCTAAACTACAGGCCCTCCCAGGGACAAGCGCCAGGGGAGCGCAGGAGCAGGGCTGCACCCTGGTTGGCCCCAAGCTGCCAGAGCCCCTCAGCCCCGCACTCACCCGCACACCGTCCTTAGCTCGGCCGCCGCCTCCAGGCTGCAGCCCAGATCTCTGGCCACCGCGGCATCCTCTCGCTCGGAGTCAGTCATCCCTTGTCGCCCGGGCAGCGCGGGTGCCGGCGGCTCCCTCAGCGACAAGTCCCCGGCCCCGCGCAGCCGGCCACGCCACAACTCCCCAAAGGCGCCCACATGGAAAGCGCGCGTATTTAGCTCGGGAAGCTCGTACTCTGGAAAGTTGCAGCCGCTGCTGCTGGGGACCGGGTCCCGCCTGCTGCCCACCCCGCTGCACAGCGGGCCACCCCGGCTGCCTTCAGCCATGTTCGCCCCACTCCCTTCCCTGCAGAAGCCAGGCGGTCAAGGCCTCGCGCGGCGTGATGGGACTTGTAGTTTCGTTTGCCC